TCCCTCCCTCCCTCCCTCTCTCTTTCTTTCTCTTTCTTTTCTTTTTTGACAGAGTTTTGCTTTTTTGCCTAGGCTGCAGTGCAGTGGCATGATCTTGGCTCACTGCAACCTCTACCTCCCATGTTCAAGTGATTCTGCTGCTTCAGTCTCCTGAACGTAGCTGGGATTATAGGTGCCTGCCACCACACCCAGCTAATTTTAGTATTTTTAGTAGAGACGGGGTTTCACCATGATGGCCAGGCTGGTCTTGAACTGATGTCAGGTGATCCACCCACCTCGGCCTCCCAAAGTTTCGGGATTACAGGCATGAGACACCACGCCTGGCCACGTCCCAGTTTCTTAACCTCATACTCAAAGCCCTCTGTAATTCAGCTTTTATCTGCCTTCCTAAACTTCCCCATCTTCCATCCTTTAGTTGCTCAGTTTTCCACCCCTGTCCTGATTTCCCCACTTTGCTTGATTCTTCCTTCTGTTGGATTTCATGGCTAAACGTAAATATTACCTCCTCTAGGAAGCTATTAATAATTCCAAATGAAAGGCGTCTCTCAGTCCTCTGATATCTAATAGCGTTTTATCTATGGTTTACTTGAAACAGCTATTTTCTGCCTTGTACTAGAGTTATTCATTTGCAAATCTGCTCTGGTTGGAATGCAGCCTGCAAAGCTCATGAGTTGAAAGTTTGATCCCCAATGCAGAGGTGCTGGGAGCTGTGGCCTGACAGGAGGTGTTTGGGTCATGGGGGCACCACCCTCATGAATGCATTAATGCTGGTGTCACTGGCATGGGTTCCTTTCCCCTCTCTCTACCCCATATCCTTCCACCATGAGATGACACATCAAGTAGGTTCTAACAAGAAGCCAGCTCCCTGACCTGGGACTTCCCAGCCTCCAGAACCAGGAGCCAAATATATTTCTATTCTCTATAAATTACCCAGTCTCTGGTACTCTTATAGCAGCACAAAATGGACTAAGACAAAATCTAATCTCCCTTTCCATACTACAAACTCTTGGAAGGTGAGGCTGACATTGATATATCTACCGTTATCCTTAGAATCCACCACAGTGTCTTGAATATAACAGGAATAAGGTTAATAAGCAATAATATAATGATTTTTTTCTCCGTCCTAATAGTGAGAATTTAGAAATTAATTCTAAAATATTCAATTTGTTAAAGGAAGTCAACTAATGACCAAGAACACCAATGTCCCTCTGTTCTGATATACGTAATATTTGCAATTTACTTCACTTTACAGTTTCGCTCAATAGATTATTGTTTGCAACACAACTCAAAGAAAACCCCTATGCTGAAGGTTCAATAAATCCAATGAAATAATGACATTGATGATGATGGTGATAATAAAAAGAGGAAAGCAGCATCCTATTGGCTGGCTGCCAGGTAATTTGCCAAATTTGGAGGAATTAGATAAGGATAGCAGAACTACTTTAAAATTCACTTGGTGCTGTCTCTTAGGTAAGTTAGCAACTGCTGGGAGTCTACCACTTGTAAACACAGACCATGTTAGGTGAATGAATGGACTTACATAATGGAATCTGGGTAAACTACAGCAATTTCACCATAAACTACAAGGCACCAACTGAAAGTATGTGATCATAATTCCAGGATTAGAAAACCATTGTCTCCACTGCAGAACGGTCACATTAGTTCCTTTGAAGCAGGTAAGTAAATGACCATCTTGTAAAGCTTCTGAGAGTCAAAAGGCAAGCACTTCTGAGTTAGGAACACAGTAGTATGTCTAGATAAGTGGTAAGGGGTCTTCAGAGAGTACTGCGGCTAGTTCATGCTATTTGCAGACTCTTCTTAAGTACTAAAGCCTGGGCTCAGGTACGGAGGATGATGGCTGAAATTTCTCTTATGCTCATCAGACATACCACTTCCCATCACTACTTCTTCCGGCTACAATGATGGCTGAGTCTGTCACCAAAATATCACAGCCTCTGACATAAAATCACATCCCCAACTCTTCTACTTACGCACTCTTATTTACAAAACCATTTTAAAATAAATTAAATCCACTGAGTAAAGATGAATCACAAGAAGGGTTTCACGTTAAAAGAAAACGATTTCACAAGAATGCTCTTTTCTGGGGTGGGGCTAGAAAGCATAAAATTGTATTCTCTGATTTAAAGACTTAAGAACCCTCAAAGGAAAAGGAGTTCTGATGAAATTGAAAGAATATGTCACGTGGCATAAGAAAACGGCAGTGCACGCATTTTCTCTGTCAGTATTTAATAGGTTAAAGAATATCAGTGAGGATGAATCGTTTCTGTTGGAAGCCTAAAACTCACTGACACAGAAACAAAGACGCTTGGAAACTTTATATTCTTTAGTTCTTTGAACAATAAAGGGCCTTGTCTAGTCAACATTTGGAGTAATTTTTCCCAGGGGGATTATTACTATTTGAGAGGGATGAAAGAGTAGCATTCTCATGATACATTTTTATTTTCTGAGAATAAAAATATGTCTCTTTAGGAGGCCACGTTCTGGATGTATTAAGAAGTGTGAAAAAGCACTGAGTCTGCCACAGTTCTCAGATATCCTCTTCCAGCTGTAAAGACAAACCCCAATCTGGAGAATTGGTTCTCAAACCCTAATTTCAAAAGGCATACATCAAGGACAGGACCCTCTGTTAGAAAGCTAGGAATAAGATCCAACTCCTATAAGATCTAAGTTATTCTGCATATGGGTAGGGGAGGCTCGGAAATAAAAGTCCAAGTAATTAACAGAGAATTTCAAACCACAGACAATAAGCATCAACATTTCATTATAGTACAGAGCTTCCCTTGAGGATCTCTGACTCAAATAGTGTTTACAAACTGAGATGAGAATTTCTAGTACTCAAACTATCCAGTCAACTGGAAAGAAAATGGATTCTCAAAGCCAGAACTGATGAAACCTACCAGCTATAAACCCGAGACCAGCTCTCATTATGCTTTAGGTATGTTTTCACTCTAAAATGTGTTCCTGTGATCTCTTGTTCTGCAGAACTGGAAAAAAAAATTGTGAACACACAGGCAGCAGAGCGGCTGCAAAGCTCCTTGCTGACAGGTGAGATCACACAGCCCTTACCATGCTCCAGAGCTTTCATGGGAAACCAGAAGAGGATGAGGGAGTGGACCAAGGCGTTGATGCAGTGACCCCAGAAAACCTAAGGAAAAACAAACCAAGGGAGTCAGGAGCTGCCCAAAATGCTTGACCTCTGTGAAACTCTCAACAAACGCCACATTGTGAGGGATCCTGACCGTGCGCTGCACGGTTCCAGGAGTAGCATATTATTCTTGACTTCGAAAAACAAAACAAAACAAAACCCTCACCCAAATCAACTATTTAATTTTTACATAAAATGACTGGATTATCTCCAGATCATATTACTTTAGTTACAAAGACCTAAATATCTACTCACACGTATGCAGACCAACACAATCTATCCACACGTGAAAAATTCATTCTGATCAGTTTTCTTTAGCATTGTAAGAGAGACAACAACATTTCACAAACATCCAGAAAAAGGATAGTAGGTCAAAATTGTTAAGAAGAGACTAAAACTGTGTCTCTTCTTAACAATTAAACTGTATCAGGTGCGGATGGGATGCCTTAAAAGCACTGAAAACATTCCACTTGTAAATTTTTGCACGGCATTCTCACTGTTTTGTTTTACTACTTCAAATCCCTCTCATTCAACTTTTTCTATTATTTTTGGGATTTTAGATAGTATGCATATTTGAAAGTTCTCTTTATTTTAATATTTAAAGGTCAGAAAAAAGGACACAAGGTTTAGTTTATTCTAAACTTTAGTTTCACTAATATATCACAATCATTGTTTTAACCACTGTGATGACAGAATTATTGACTATTAAAGCCAGATTAAATTTATTTAACCATCTACCAGTTGTCCCTGGGAATTATCATATAGTTTGAGCCTGAGATGACAGAAAATAGTGAAAAATGTTATTATAAGACAATGGAATTTCCCCCTGCTTTAAATGTTCATTTTGCACCATCTCTGATCTATCTAAAAAAAAAAAAAAAAATTCTTCAAAGTGCCTGCAGATGTTTCCGTGCATCCTCAGCTCTTACTTACTTCCCACCTCAAATGGCCTTTGCATTCGAATTCTGTAGAAAATGGATTTATGTAAATAATGCAGTGAAAATGGGTCATATTTTCCCATTCACGGAATCATAGTCAACAAGGATTGGTAAAAGGAGTCCCTCGGGCCTCTTTGGATATGGGGATGGCAGAACCAATAAGGAGCCCTTCTGTTTCCTCCCTGCCTCGGATTAACTAGTGAGCCTCCCCAGAAAAAGGTGGCTGCAGGGATATCAGGAACATCTGGCTCAGAAGAGAGGCCCTGGGAGACCGTTCACTCCTTGAGGCCTGGAGAGGTGACTCCCTATGTCCTTCTCACTGACGGCCCAGGAACCACGCATGCAAATCGTGACCGCCACCAGCACACAGTCCTGGAGGTGAACTGTGCAACAGACCTCTGTCTAAACTTCTGAATCCCCCCGAACGAAGACCTGAGGCAGAAACAAGGCCATGCGGCCATGCTCACATCTCGCCCCTCCGCGCCCAGGCACACATCTCTCTTTTCTTTGGATGGGGTCACCCGAGCACTCTGCCACTTCCAGCTGCAAATGGCATCTGTGTGGCAGACCCCTCTGCTGCCTGAGACTGCCGACCCCTTTAACACTCCACCCAGCTTTGGGCTGGGTTTGTCAGGATCACCTATACCTTTCTTTGGCTCCTTTCTGATTCTCTGGTCCAGAAAAACAAAACCAAACAAAACCCCCACAACTCATGTGATCCCTGAGTTCATATCTAGACAATGTTATGCACAAGCTAAAGACACATTTTATTTCAAAGGACAAACCCAGCAACAGTTAGGTAAGCTGCCATCGGGCCTCCACATAGGGCTGCAGGACCGCACAAGGGGGGGTCTCTGACAGTGGATCCTGAACCTGGGCTGTGGGAGCTGCTGCCCACACTGATGTCAGGGGCTGACAGGGAGAAGCGGGAAGGAGTCAACATGCTGGGACCGGAGGTTGCAGCCCACGCGGCACGGACCCGTCGCCTGAGAAGGTGTCTTGAATTCACTGGGCTTGTGGGGGGTGTGCGTGTGTGTGTGTGTGTGTGTGTGTGTGGTGGGGCGAGCAGATCATGTTCTCAGCACTTCTTAAATGTTCTTTCTCAAGCTTCAAATATCTCATAGGCAGATGACTAGAATTAAACAGCCATGCCTTTCTGAGGTGACAATTCTGAGATCACACCTTGTTTACCTTTGTGTTGAAGCCTTCGCCGTTCTGGGTGATTTTGTAGAGCTGGGGAAACCTGAGCATGCTCTCCTGAGTGCAAGACCTCTCAAAGATTCCCAGAGTGAAGGGCGGCAAAGCGGTGAAAATCTGCAGGGAGAACAATGAGCCATTAACAGCAGTCCTTCCGACCCACACGGCTGCAGTGTTCCCTTCTACCAAACGATGACTTCATTTCCAGTCAAGTCCCAACCTGAGACTTCATGATTCACAGATCCCCAGACACTCTCCACACAAAGGAAATAAATGAAAGACCATTTTTACATTAATCACTATCAAATGAATACACTGAACACTAAAAAATCATACATCATCCGATTAGCCAAGACTTCTTGTTAAATTAGCAACTACCTTCCTTTGTCAAACGAGGGCTGATGTGGAATCATGCCACAGTTAGCTCTGTGAAGTGCTGCTTTGTTTTCTGTTCACGCTCGCAGAGGTAAAATTTACAACCTTCCATCTTGACGTTATACTTAAAGTTCAGGAAGCATAATGTACTTCATCCATTTATTCATTCAACAGACGTTTACTCTAAATGAATTATGGGCCAGATACTGTGATAAGCACCAGGCATGGAGAGATTTACAAACAGAAGAAAGAAGGAAAATCAGGTCCCCGACCTCCAGGAACGCCATCTACTGCAAAGGTCGGGGAGGGGAGTGGGGCAACAGGCATAGAGATAAATACACAAAACGCAGGGCTCTGCAAAACTGTTCATACCTGTTGAGGGAGGACGCAGAAGGAGAAGGGAGAGTCACCAAAGGATTCTTGCACCAAAGAGTATCTGACCTGCAAGGTATTGGACCAACAGGATTTGGCAAGATGCTAGGGATGTGGGTGAGGAAGCAGTCCCACGAGAGACGCACCCCTCACAAAGCTCTGAGACATCAGCATGCCTGTTTGGAGGTGTTGAACGAAGTTTATAGAAGGCCACTGTTTGGACTGAGCTCCTGCACTCAGCCCCAGCAGACCTGACCAAACCAGAATGGACTTACTTGTGCTAAGAGCTGTGTCATCAAACTAAACTTTGAAACAGGCCAGTTTTCCAAAACCGAACAAACCAACAAACAAAAAACACAGGAGATTCACAGCAACCAGTTTACCTGGGCACCAGAAAGGGCCCAGTTTACCGGAGGTAGCATGGTATGGAAGTCCCCTCTGTTTCAACTCTGTAAAGAAAGTCACTTTGAAACAACCTATTGCTTTCTGCTCTGCTTCTGTTTCCTTAGCCCCTTTCTGCCTATACAGCTGGCCTCCTCTGCTCAGCTCATCAGAGCACTCATTCTGCTTCATGGAATGAGATGCTACCCAATTCCAGAATGGCTAACAAAAGCCAATTCGATCTTTAAATTGTTGTAATTTTGTCTTTGGACGGGGAACCTTCTAAGATACACAGGATGGTGGCTGGCTGAGGGCTGCAGTGTAAGGCAAGGATAGGAAGGAGACCAGACCAAACAGTCTCCAGTGACAATGAGTTCTTGGGCAGACGGTGCCTTGCAAGACCTTTGACTTTCACCTGTACTCACATTTGTGTATTAGAAAGATAAAGCAGGAGCTGAAGAGGGTGCTTGGAAGAAACATGTCATTTTAACTTAGGACATGTTGGCCCTGAGGGTCCTTCTCCTGCTTGGTTCTGGGAATGGTTCACAGAGCCTGGGTCACTTGCTGCTGAGCATCCCTCAAATCCCCACCCACAAGCCCAGCAAGCTCTCAGGCCTGTGGGAATTGGACGTGCGTCTCTAAGAGAATTCTGAACTCACACTAGCTATCTGGAGATGGAGTGTGCGGCCAGAGGAAGCTGTTCCCAAGTCTATTGGGAGCAGGCAATCAGATGTGTGGTGAGTAGAGGCAGTAAAACTCTCACGCTCTTCCTTCAGGCCACAGCAGAATGGAAAGCAGCCCTGGGATTTCAATGTGCTACAAAGACTTCAAGCAGAAATCCACAGGAGACTTGTTGCACTCACTTTCCTCACAACAACAAAAGTTGTCTGTTTTATAGCTGGACAGAGCTTCTACCAGAAGCCAGGAGCTATGCACACTTTCTTAGTCCATACCCTCACCTCCATTGCTCTGCATCCATGTGTACGTGTGAGGTCATGCCTACTGTTTACGTGGCAGTCTTTTTCTTTTTTTTAAACTTGAGCTTCTCCTTCTACCTATCTTCAAATTCTCCCCTGTCCTTCATCACCATGCTATAATGAAGCCCAGCATGCCTACACATTTTCCACTCTGCCTATAGCATACTACACACACACAGACACACACACACACACACACACACACACACACTAGGGATCATAATTTGTTTCATCAAACGTTGACGCTGGCCAGTCATGGTAGCTCCTGCCTGCAATCCTAGCACTTTGGGAGGGCAAGACAGGAGTTCGAGACCAGCTTGTGCAACACACCAAGACCCTGTCACAATTTCACAGAACACACCGAGGTAGTGTGTGCCTGTAGTCCCAGCTACTTGGGAAGTGGAGGCAAGAGGACTGCTCCAGCCCAGGAGGTCGAGGCTGCATGAGCTATGATTGCACCATTGCGTTCTGGCCTGGGCAACAGAGTGAGACCCTGTCCCCTGCCAACCAAAAAAGTAGACATTATACACATTTTTCTTCATCATGCTCTTCTCGCTAAACAATGCATTACAGAAAGCCCCCAAGTCCCTTGGGTTTGATGCTAATGCAGTCTTTTAATGCTCACATAATAATTCATAGTACGGATGTACCATTTTTTTAGCCATTCACCCACTGATGGGCATTCATTTTCTTCCCAGTTCTTTGTTACCACAAACATGTAATACATATCTATACTATATGATAACATACAGGCTTTTTCTTTTATCTCTATGGGAAGAAGGCCCAGCAGCAGAGTTAAAAGGATACATGCATTTTTAATTTTACTAGATTCTGCCTTTCAAAGGATTTTGAAAGCATTTTCCTCTCCCATTGCAAAAGACAATCACAGATTTTTCCCTATTTCCCTATCAGCAATGGTTGTTACATTGGTCTTTTAATGTTCTCCAGTCTTAAAAATTAAAGATGTTACTTCTTACTTTAAAAAGCTGCATTTCCCCAACTACCAGTGAGTTTCAGCATGTTTTCATACATTTGTTGGCTATCTGCATTTGCAGTTCTGTGGAATGTCTGCTCATGTCTTTTGCCAACTACCAGTGAGTTTGAGCATGTTTTCACACATTTGCTGGCTATCTGCATTTGCAGTTCTGTGGAATGTCTAACTCACGTCTTTTGTCTACTTTGTATCCATGGCTTATCCTCTTTTTAAAGAGCTCTTTGAGTAGAACAGATATCAACTCTGTCTTTATGTTATGAAATTTCATGCAAATGCACTCTTTGTCTATTGGTTTTTAAAATGGGTTCTTTTGCCATATAAAAGCTTTTAATATTTAAATGGCCAAGAAATGCTTCTGTGTGTCCAATTGTGGCTACAGAAGTTTCTCCTCCATGAAAATTACATGTTTTCAGGAGTGTCTTGTAGGATTTTACTATTTTATTTTCCACATTTAAGTCTTTAATATATCTGGAATTAATTTTTCTATATAGGAGTCCATTTTTTTTTTCCCCAAATAAAGAGCCAGTTGTGACAACATAATAAATGAGGCCAAACTTTCCCCAATATATTGAAAGATCACCTTTAAGGCTAATCAAATTCTCATGTATTACACATGTAGACCCTAGAATGGGAATGTAGTTCTAAAATCTCCAACTTATTTGTCAATAACAGTGATTTGGTTATGGTGGCTTCATAGTATAGTCTGATATTTAGTAAAAATAAGTCTAATTTTATGACCCTTTTTTGAGTGTGCTTTACATATTTATTCTCAGATATGTGTAAATTCCATTAATACTTTAATATAACTATATGCAACTTTCCCCTTTCCTCCCAAAACATTCACCTGTTGGGATTGATTCTATGTGGAATCACATATATCTATATTAATTTTAGAAGAGTTGAATCTTTTATGATATTAAGTCTTCCCATACAAGAAAATAGTATGCTTTTCCATTTGTTCAATAAGACTTTTAAAAATGTAGGTACTGTAGACATTTTTCCTATGCAATATACAATTGTAATTGCTTTACTGAAAGAATTCTTACTTCCTTTGCATTTTTAGGTGTCCATTGCCAGAGCAAAAAAAAAAAAAAAAAAAAAAAAAAGCTATTTATTGCTAGGCTAGAAAATGGCTGTTGATTTTTAAAATATATTTATCATGTATCTGGTCACTTTATCAAATTCTCTTATAATTCTAGTATTTCTCTACTGGTTTTGTTTTCTAGATAAACAATCATATATGAACATATTTACATTACTATATGTCTGTGAGCATATTTGTATAAGTACAGAGATTGTTCACTGTTTTCCCAATATTTGCAATCTTCTTTGCAGTTGCCAAAAATATGGAAACAATGAATTATATAGCGATGGCAGGCATCTTGATTAACTTCTTATTTTAAATGAAATCATTTCAGAATTTTACCATTTTGGGCAGCATGCTACTGGTTTTTGTAAATGGTATGAATTCCAGTTAAGTGGCTTTTTTCTATTCCTATTTTATTTAGAGTTCTTATTTTGGGAATGGCAGCTGAATTGCTTCAAACATTTTTGTAGCATCTGCTGATGGGATCATGTTTTTCTTATTTTATTGATCTGGTGATATTTAGAAAGATGTTTAATTTCAAGCGTCCTGTATTCCTAAAATAAATCTTACTTTGTCACATACTTTTTCTTTTAATATATTATTGAACTCCATTTGCCAATATTTTATTTAGAATTTTTGTATTTCTGTTTATAAGTGAGACTTCTTCCTCAAATGACGCTGGCTTGACAACAGGACTCATTTTCTGCAAGAGGTTAAATAATACTAGAGTGCTCTCTGCATTATAACAGACATAAAATTTAGCTGAAATCCATTTGATCCTAGTGGCATTGGCCCTTGGTGGCATTTTTAGTCTCATTCTACCCACAAAACAAAATGATACAGAAATTTGACTATAAGCCGGGCATGGTGGCTCACATCTATAATCCCAGTACTCTGGGAGGCTGAGGTGGGCGGATCACCTGAGGTCAGGAGTTCAAGACCAGCCTGGCCATGGTGAAACCCTGTCACTATTAAGAATACAAAAAATTAGCCAGGTGTGGTGATACACACCTGTAATCCTGGCTACTTGGGAGGCTGAAGCAGGAGAATCACTTACACCCAGGAGGCAGAGGTTGCAGTGAGCCAAGATTGCACCATTGCACTCCAGACTAGGCAACAAGAGCAAAACTCCATTTCAAATGAATAAATAAATAAATAAATTAATTAATTAATAAAGTTGACTATGGATATAATGAAAATCTTCTGGGACAACATTCATTTATTATTTAGGAAGAAGCCTGTTTCTTGTTGTTGTTGTTGTTTTTGAAACAGAGTCTTGCTCTGTTGTCCAGGCTGGAGTGCAGTGGTGTGATTTCAGTTCACTGCAACCTCCGCCTCCCAGGTTCAAGCAATTCTCCTGTCTCAGCCTCCCAAGTAGCTGCAATCACAGGCTCACACCACCACACCCAGTCAATCTTTGTACTTTTAGTAGGGATGAGGTTTCACCATGTTGGCCAGGCTGGTCTCAAACTCCTGGCCTCAGGTGATCCACCTGCTTCGGCCTCCCAAAGTGCTGGGATTACAGGTGTGAGCCAACGCACCCGGCCTCAAGCCTGTTTTAATGCTATTAACTTGCTATGAAAATTTGTTTGAGAGGCTGAGTGTGGTGGCTCACGCCTGTAATCCCAGCACTTTGGGAGGCCAAAGTGGGTGGAACACAAGGTCAGGAGATCAAGACCATCCTGGCTAACACAGTGAAACTCCATCTCTACTAAAAATACAAAAAATTAGCCAGGCATGGTGGCGGGCGCCTGTAGTCCCAGCTACTCGGGAGGCTGAGGCAGGAGAACGGCGTGGACCCCAGGAGGCGGAGCTTGCAGTGAGCGGAGATCGTGCCACTGTACTCCAGCCTGCGCGACAGAGCGAGACTCCATCTCAAAAAAAAAAAATAAAATAAAATTAGTTTGAGAAACAATGACTTGCCACTTCAGCTGACTTGCGGAATCAAAGAAAGAGTACATTTAGAAGAAAAAGCAGGAGAGAAATACTGCTTGAAGAATATGACAGGGGAGAACCCAGCCCAGAGGAAGAGGATCACTAGCAAATGCGTTCCACATCACAAATGTTCTCTTGCAGGCGGTCTCTAGAATGATCCTGGGCTGGAAAAATTGCTAAATAGGGCATTATTGGAGCAAGAATGGCAAACTGGAATATGGATTAAGATGAATTAGATAATAGTATTAAATTCATGTTAAATGTTTCAGATTTCATCACTATAGTTTGGTTGTATAAGAGGAAGATCTTGCTACAAGATCTTTAAGCAGGAAAGGGACATGATGTTTGTAATACTCCGCTGGGTCAGAAATAAATGCATTCACAAGTGTGTGCATGAGTGTAGGCACGTGTGCATGCGGACAAGTATGGAGAAAGAGAATGCAGTAGGGGAAATGCTAATTACTGTTCAATCTGGGTGAAGGGTAAATAGTAGTTCTTTGTATCTTTTTTGTAGCTTTTCTCTAAATTTCTATTTATTTTATACGAATGTCACAATTATCATGCAGGCAAATTTTCATGTTCCCAAAAGGTTTGGCCCCTCCAGTATGAGCAAGTCCAGAGCCTAGTGGTGCATTTGGGTTTACCTGGCAGATCCTTGACCATTCCATCCCAACTGCCAGCACTCACCAGCAGCCCACTTCAATGACTGCACTGTGGACTCTGTGGTAATCTAGGCCCTTTCACCTTGAAATACTCTTTTCTATCACAGTGTACTCTCTTTATAGTTTGGGGGACAGAAAAACTGCATAAAATATAATCCCAACTCTAAGGTCATGCATAACAATAACTAGAAAAGTTTGTAGCTCATGACTGTAATCCTACCACTTTGGGAGGCCGAGGTGGGAGGATTGCTGGAGCCCTGGAATTTGAGACCAATCTGGGCAACATAGCGAGACCCCGTTTCCACACATTTTTTTTTTAATTAGCTGGCTGTGGTGGCACTTGCCTGTGGTCCCAGCTATTAAGGAGGCTGAGGTGGGAGGATTGCTTGAAACAGAGAGGTTCAGTGAGTAGTGATGGCACACTGCACTCCAGCCTGGGTGACAGACCAAGACCCAGTCTCAAAAAAAAAAAAAAAAAAAAAAAAAAAAAAAAAAAAAAAAAAAAAGGCAAAAACTGCAATATCTCTGAGATACTCTTTGTTAATCTGAGGCGGGGCTCAGGAACCTGCGTTTTTCAAATAAACCCCTGTTATTCTCCTGCAAATGGTCTGTGGGCCTTATTTTGACCAACACTGCCCTCTAGGCTGTCAGCATCTTATGTGTAGTAGGCACTCAATAAAATCTGTTGGATTAATTTGAATTGGCCAAGACTGCATGGAGCTAAGAAAAGAATCCAGCCCTCATGCCCTGAGCATGGAAATCAGGCTAAAATCCACTCATGCTATAAGCAGGTGATTGTTCTTCGCTCTACAACAGAATCTCTCCTAGGTCTCAGCATCTCGTTTCTAAAATAGGGATGTGGCATGTGTTTGTGTGAAGTGTCAACTCCACAGACACCTGACCCCTTTCAAGTCCTGAATAATCGTGGAGCATTCTGCGTATTTCCCCCAAATGGTAGAACAGCTTTAACCTACTCAAAATAGTTCCAGGAGGTGCAGAGTTAGCAACCTGTGGTCTACCCTTAGTACACAAAGGGGAGGCCCTGCAGCCCTTATCCATGGGTAGGTGGTCAGAGTAGTTCTTCCAGCACAGGAGAGGAATGGACATCAATTCTGTCCTGTTCTTACCCCTCCTAATCTTTGTCTTTTAGGGCATCAGTATCAGCAAGAAATACGCGAGCGCACTTTGCAGCAAGTTAACACAGTTACGGACTCACCAACACCATATTTAACTCAAGATCCGGACCCAGTCCTCCTTGGAGGTGTCTGAATCCACATATCTGACCCTCTTAACCTGCAAGCTACACAGGGCCAGGGCACACTACTGCATTCAGCATTTTACACCGGCGCCCAGCACTGAGGTTATCCATAAAGGCAGGTGAAAGCATGGAAGACTTAAATATCTAGCCACCAATGGATATGCACGCGAAATATTTCTAGTACCATAGGTTTTATCATTGTACGCCTGGTAACTCCCATCTACATCTATCCACGATGGCTGCTTCAGAATGTAAATTCCCAAGTGCGAGAACAATTCAAAAAATGGGCCGTTCTGGGGTCTCCAGAGTGCTCAGCTACAAGCCCCTTAGTTCTTCCTGCCCGTGAAACAAAAAGCAAGAAAGCTAAGCAGCTACTGAGCCATTTTAGCTACAGTTTATATTTATTTCTAGCTTCTGAATTCATCATAGTTATAAAAAGTAATAAAAAAGGAACTCGAAAATCATAAAAAGTACCAGATGAGCTGATGACCATCCTCCACAGTAGCTGGAAGTCAGAATTCATTATTTTAGCTCTAATTGCAGAAGAAAATGTGCTTCCACAAGGACAGATACCCTTTCAGGAAGGCCAGAAGGGACACCAGATCACACACTGTATATGCGTATCTATGTTTAAGAATTCAGAACAAAAATAATGAAGTGGAATGAGTTTAGACGTAGTTCAGAAATTTGTACTTGAGCTAAAAACACGAAAGTGTTGCACAGGCATTTGGTGAGGGGGTAACAAGGGTCTATTATCAAGATATATGGGTTAATAATTTCATGGGGTTATTCAAGAATGATCTGCTATGATGGAAACCATGTGTGGAGAGTTTGGGCTTCTGCAGGATGTTTCACAGCAACAAAGGGCCTAAAGATGTATTTGTGCTGCCTGCTAAGTATACAGATGATTGACTTAGATACACTTCCCAGACATATACAGTGAAGGAATGCCACTGAAGTTCTAAGTTCTGCATGCTATCAGATAGAGATGAAGAATGCTTACCACATTGTACAGGCCGATGCACCAACGTTCAAATAAAATCTGCCCAGAAAATCCATTAACAAAGGCGAACCAAAGCTGCAAGAGAAGAAAGTTCATGAAGTTTTATATCAATATTGACCTAAATGTTTCCATTCACCGAAGAAGTAGCGGGAATGTGGACCACCAGCTGGACACAGCTGCTAAGGAATCACGAGCCACAGGACCGCAGCAGTTGTTCCTTTGTAAAACACAGATTCCCGATATCACAGAAATCCGTATTGTAAGGAAAATTTCTATTTAAGGCATACATCCATTATTAAGAGAGAATATGCACACGTTCACAGAAAAATACATTTAATTTGTTTTTAATAGGTTTGGTATCAAAACTTTCTCATTGACTGGAGGAGTCTCAGCTTCACATTCTTGTTTTTCTCTAAAGTGGATTTGAGAAATACGATGTGTCTTTGCAGGACTTTCAAATAGATATAAATCATAAATTTAAAACAACAACAAAAGCTCCTCTGTTCTGTGTGTGCTGAGTTCATACATTATCGACCCTCCTTAATCGGACATCTACCACCTTGACCAAGGTCAAAACAGAATCACATAAAAGAAACATGCTCAAATCATTTTTTGAAGTAATGAGAGATGTATAAATAAATAAATAAAATGTGGACTGTTATTCATGCTTCCAAGTAGTCTATGATTCTAACTGATTAGGCAAGACTGATATAAAAACAAATACAGAGCCAAGTGCCAGGATATAATTAGTGTGCACGACAAAGGATAAAACACTGTCAGAGGCCAGGTGCGGTGGCTCACGCCTGTAATCCCAGCACTCTGGGAAGCTGACGTGGGCGGATCACCTGAGGTCAGGAGTTCGAGACCAGCCTGGCCAACATGGTGAAACCCCATCTCTACTGAAAATACAAAAACTAGCGGGGTGTGGTGGCAGGCGCCTGTAATCCCAGCTACTCGGGGTTGCTGAGGCAGGAGAATCGGTTGAACCTGGGAGGTGGAGGTGGAGGTTGCAGTGAGCCAAGATCGTGCCACTGCACTCCAGCCTGGGTGACAAGAGCAAGATTTCATCTCAAAAACATAAAAACAAAAAAAAAACACCAAACAACACTGTCAGAGAAGGAAAGGTCACCCAGATGTAATCTGAGTACACGGAGGCAGCAGGACTGGGGTGGAAGAGGGCCGAGCCACCCGGAGGTTTCTTACAAGACAGAAACCTGAATTAGAAGGAAGCGAACATGAAAATATGGAATTTTAAAAGTTGCTGTTGAATAATCAGCTACATTTATATGAGATGTGATTCCAATGACTGAGGGCAGACTTGAGAGTGTCCCATACAAATCACGGAGTCAACATTAGCTGTGTTATATCATCACAGACGGAGACCGCTGCTGGGGTAGAACCTAACTGGCAACACAGGACAGACACCACGGCAACCAGAGTCCAGGTCAGCTCTGGTACGGAAATTTTACTGAGGCAGATTTTTCAAAGTCAGTTTCTTGTGTCCATCAGATTAAGTTTCTTGAAGCAGGAGGTGTTCCCCATGCCGCTCTGTGCACTACTATATCCAGTATGATACTCGGTACAAACAGGGACCCACCAAGTCCCCGTGAGCTCAAATTAAATGCCAATTCAAGTGCTAGTTAAAGTTTTCCTTAAATACAGCTTTCACCTTGTCATTCCCCTGTTCAAAAAACTACTAGGGTCCCCTCTTCAATCCAAGATAAACTTGCTTACTTTCAAAAATCCTTCCACACTTCTATTCACTCTTCATTTCTTTCTCCTTTAAAACGTTTTATTTTATTGTAAATTGACCCTTTATAACTGCATGTATTTATGGGGCACAAAGTGATATGAAACTTTCCGAATACAGGGTAGAATAATTAAGTCAAGCTAACCAATGCATCTATTACCTCAAATACTTACTTTGAAGGGGTGAGAATATTTGAAATTTACTTTTAGCAACTTTGAAATGTACAATGCACTATTAATTATACTCACCACACTGCAAAATAGACCTCAAAAAACCCCATACAACTTATTCCTCTTGTCTGAGACTTTGTACCCTTTGACCATCACCCCAATTCCCTCCATCCTCTGTTATCACCATTCTATATAGGATTTGATGGTCTCTCTCCTAGTCACTCAATTTCAACTACCCTTCCAAGAGGTCTGGCTATTCTCAGTGACGAAATATTGGTGAAGAACTAAGAACCAGAGATTCATGCTGTGTTCTGTGCTTGGAAAATTCCTACAACATTTATTCAAATACTAGCCATCCCTAAAACCACAATTTCAACCCCACTCTCTCCCTACCACTGGAGGTCTTGGCAATCAATACCTCAACCACACTTTTAGTGCAATGAGAGCCTGGATCCACATCAGATTCAAACACATTAGTAAATTGTTTCAAGGGTTTTAAGTTAATTTTCCCAAGACTGTGCTATAATTCTGAGTTCTCCTATTCAAACGATTGACCAAAAAGATACCTAGTGAGTATTTTATTTTATTGCAAAATCCAGTTAATGTGTTGTCTTGTTGAAGGTAGTAGTGATATTTCTACTGCTCTGCCCTCCCTGTTATCAACTGAAAATAGCAAACATAAATAAAAATAGAAAAGAGCTGGGCATAGTGGCTTATGCCTGTAATCCCAGCACTTTGAGAGGCCAAGGGGAGACAATCGTTTGAGCCCAGGAATTCATGACCCGCCTGTGTGACATAGTTAGACCCCCATCTCCACAAAAAATAAAGTTAGCTGGGTGTGGTGATGCATGCCTCTGTAGTCCCAGCTCCTCAGGAGGCCAAGGCAGGAGGATTCCTTGAGCCTAAAAGGTGGGCAGCTGCAGTGAGCTCTGATCGTGCCACTGCACTCCAGCCTGGGCTATGGAGTGAGACCATGTCTCAAAAAAAAAAAAAAAAAAAAAAAACAAAACAGCAAACACATACACAATGAAACTATGAGTAGCTTTACTTAAAACTACAAATGATATACAATAGATGCAAACAAATATGATCAGATTAGATCAAATCAAGGGAGAATGCCCACAGCAGACAGAACCTACAGATTAAACCAACTAAAAAAAGGTTTCAAAGAAATAGGTGAAACAATCCAAGAAATAGCCAAACGAACTCTAATTTAGAGGATAAAATATAGAGGTCAGGGCAAGCGGTGGCAGAGGTTGAATTCTGGATGGATTCAACACAGCAGGCAAATTAAAGCTGAAGGGCAATATGCTCTTTCCCTCCTTTCTTTCAGGAATCAAGCAGGGAGGACACCAGGGCACCATAGAAAATACAAATGACAATCAACTTGGCAGACACTGATCAAGTTTCAAGGTGAACTGAAAAGAAAAAAAAATGCAGAATCATCCAAGAGAAACCCATAACACACAGAAATTTCCTCTAGGGAATACAGGCCTCCTCTAAGGGAAAGAAACAGCAGCAAGGGAGGTGCTTATGATTGCAGAGCGATAGGAGACCAGAGCAGGAAGTGCTCCAAGACAACTTGGAATCCCCTTTCCCCTAGACATCTTCCAAAAACACTATAGAAAAAAATAAGAGGACATGACAAACGCACATGAAATTATCTTTCCAGGAGAACAAGGCCACACTGCAGAAGAAAATCTCAAACATTCTTGGTGAGACTAAGAGAGCTAATAAAAACGTGAATTTTCTTAGAAATGAAAGTTACAATAAGATGTCTAATATAGAAAACAAAGACACAAATAGGAAGAGGTCAATGTCACAGACTGAAGCCACCCTAAAGACAAAGGAAAGCCAGAATTGACACTGTTAGCAGGGCGTGGTGGTTCATGTCTGTAATCCCAGCACTTTGGGAGGCCAAGGAGGGTGGATCATCTAAGGTCAGGAGTTTGAGACCAACCTGGTCCAACATGGTGAAACCCCATCTGTACTAAAAATATAAACATTAGCCAGGCGTGGTGGTACGTGCCTGTAATCCCGGCTCCTCCGAAGGCTGAGGCAGGAGAATCACTTGAACCTGGGAGGTGGAGGTTGCAGTGAGCCGAGATTGTGCCACTGCACCCCAGTCTGGATGACGAAGCGAGACTGTCTCAAAAAAAAAAAAAAAAAAAAAAAAAAACACCGCACTGCTGAAACCACACGTAGAGACAGTGAAGCTTGAGAAAACAATTCTCAGTAAAGGTCAAATGGTTAATAAAGATTTTTAAGAGAAATGGATAGAGTTAAAAGCCCTTAAAGACAAGCAAAAAAGTTCCCAAAAAGATGTACTTAAAAAAAAAAAGAGGAAAACAGATTTTTAAAAAATGTTCAAAGATATAACAGACGAAAATTTTCTGAAATACTCTAATCAGCCAGTTGAGAGGGGATCCTTCATCCCAGGAAACAAAACAAACAACAGACACAGAAAGATCAATACCCACACACGTCCTGCTATAGGAATTAATGAGTTTTAAGATTTTATAGGATCAGTTCTTCAGTATATTCACACAGAAAAAGTAACAAAGAGAAAAAAATTAAGGAGGCTTGCTACTTCTCTCTAGAGGTACACAATACCGAGATAGTAAAAGATGTTTACAAGTCCTTAGGGAAATAAAGGGTGACAGGAATTTTAGTAAAAGATAGAAGCCAAGGAAACATCAAAAGCTGAAAACTAACATAGAATGTGATGACAGAAGCAATATTAAACATGTGTGTTACATTAATAATAAAAAATAAAAGCTCAGTGGATAAAAAAATAGAATCCAAAATACATGCTACATAGAAGAAACATGTCAAATGAATATGAAAAAGACACACTCTATTCAAAAAAGATCAATTTCTTAGCTTAGATTTACAAAGCCCAACACAATCAGGTCCCCACCTATCTTTCTGACAACACTGCATCTCCTTCAGTCAGCTACAACGGCCTTCTGTTGGTTCCTTGCAAGCACCAAGGACAGACGCAGCTTTATTATTTTGCACCTAAATATCAGCAACTATGTCAGCAGAATTTGTTTAGTAAGTCATCTTTATCTCACTTGTTTGAAATGTCCTTTATCACATGATAAATTACCATAGTACTTGGAAAAGAATATGTGGTATTTCAGTCTCTCTAT